TTTTTGAGTCAGAGTTTCACTCTGTCACCCAGGCTGGAGTGCAGTGGCACACTCAGGCCACTGCAGCCTCGACCTGCTGGGCTTAGGCCATCCTTTTGCCTCAGCGTTTTAAGAAGCTGGAATCACAGATGCACACTGCCACACCCTCGTTTTGCCAAATTTCCCAGGCTGGTCTTGAAGCCCGGGGTTTAGGCAGTCCTCTTGCCTCCACCTCTCAAAGTGCTGGGATTATAGGCATGAGCCGAGAGGGAAGATTAATAGTAGTTGTTAAAAAAAATAGTAGTTATTTGAAGAACAACTCTTTTGAAACTAAGGATTGAATAAATTATCATTCTCTCCCCCAACATAATTGGTGAAAATGTAAAAATATCTTTCTATTTTCAGACCTGTTTAAAACGAATTCGACTTGATCTCCCTATTTTACATGAAGATTTTGTTAGCAATAACGGTAAGAATGTAGGTTTATGTACTTTATAACAATTTTGCCTTTTGGATTGAGTTAGGGTGGCAGTGTTACAGAACTGGATCCTTTGTCTATATTTTGTGTATAATTAAAGTACAGTTAAGTACAATACATAGGAATGAGTTAAATGCCCTGGTATATACAGAATGTTATGTATGAAATTTGTTTCTAGCCGAGCTCGGTGGCTCAACCTGTAATCCCAGAGCTTTGGGAGGCTGAGGTGAGTGGATTGCCTGAGCCCACGGGTTCAAGACCCGCCTGGGCAAGTTGGTGAGACCTCATCTCTACAATAAATAAAAAAAAATTAGCTGGGCGTGGTAGCATGCGCCTGTAGTTCCAGCTACTTGGAAGACTTGAGGCGGAAGGATTGCCGGAGCCCAGCAGGTCGAGGCTGCGGTGGCTGGGAGCGGCCACTGCACTCCAGTCTGGGTGACAGTGAGACTCCAACTCAAAAAAAAAAAAAGAAATTTGTTTCTTAGCAATTTGGGAGACTGAAGCAAGAGAATTGCCTGAGCCCAAGGACTTGAGACCAGCCTGGGCAACTTGGTGAGACTTCATCTCTACACTAAATCAAAAAATTAGTCTGGCATAGTGGCACGCACCTGTAGTTCCAGCTACTTGGAAGACTGAGGCAGAAGGATTGCTTGAGCCCAGCAGGTTGAGGCTGCGGTAGCTGTAAGTGTGTCACCGCACTCCAGTGTGGGCCACAGAGTGAGATTCCACATCAAAAAAAAGCAACGAGATTTGTTTCTTAAAGATATGGCTGCACTGCCTGTAGAGATGTTGCAAAAATACTGGGGACGTTAAAAAAAGGTATACACATTTTAAGAGATTTTATTTATGTATCACTTTTCGAAGTTGAATTAAAGGTAGCAATGTGTAATTGCAGAAGTCAAACGTGACTTGTATTTATCTTTTGTTATTGGTATAGAGTATTACAATTTTAATACAGTTTTTTCCTTTTTTAAAATGTGTATTTTTTTTGGCACCCTCTGTGTATTTGGCCATAGAATATGAGCTTTTGAAAATTCTGGTGACCCATTGATCCTTTATAGTGCTTGTTAGTAAATATATATATCAAGATATAATGTGTGTGTGTGTGTGTGTGTGTGTGTGTGTGTGTGTGTGTGTATAAACTAGAAAATGTCTTGGGAGATTAGAATAGTTTGATGATGAAAGGTTAACTTAAAGGACAGATGATGGATATATGACTTTTAGTAAGATCTATGTGACTGTTCCTGGTATTGATTGCATCTGTTAGTCGTACAATGCAACCATAGACAGTCACACATATCAAAACACATGGTTCCTGCCGACAGGGTCTGTATAGTTATCAGATTTTCTGTGCGATGGCTCCATACACATATTTGTTTTTGTTTTTTAACTTTTAATAGGTATGGCAGAAAATACAAGCTTGGTATAGAAAACCCAAAGTTATTTAGACATTTCCTTTAAAAATGTGAAGGAGCATAATTTAAATAATCCAAGATGTACATTTGCTGGTAAGATACGGTATGTACTGTTGGCATAGAATTGGGCACATGTAAAGGAATGAGCTTGCAAAGTACTGATTCCACAGTATGTGCCACTGGACTACTTTCTGAGCTGCCGCTGTGTGATGAAGGCTCAGGGATAAAAGAGCAGTAAGATCAGGCTTCTTCATGGACTGACAGCACCAGACCCTCCAAACCTTTTTTTTTTTTTAAGAATTGGAGTCTCACTCTTGTCGCCCAGGCTGACAGCCACTGCAGCCTCGACCTGCTAGGCTTAGTGATCCTTCTGCCTCAGCCTTCTAGGTAGCTGAAACTATAGACGCATGCCACCATGCCTGGTGAGTTTTTGTGATTTATTGTAGAGATGAGGTCTCACCAGATTCCCCAGGCTGGTCTCAAACCCCAAGGCCCAGGCAAACCTCTTGCCTTGGCCTCCCAAAGTGCTGGGATTACAGGCTGAGCCACTGTGCCTGGCCCTTTTTGATCAGGTAGCACAAAAGTAAAGATGACTGTCTTATTTATTTATTAAATACATGTACTGATATGTACATTTTTGTTCTCATCAAAAATACAATGTGATTTTTTTTGTGTTGGAGTCTCACTTTCATCCAGGCTGGAGTGCAGTGGCACACTCACAGCCACTGCAGCCTCGACCTGCTGGGCCCAGACAATCCTTCCACCTCAGCCTTCCAAGTAGCTGGAACTACAGGCACACGCCACCACGCCTGGCTAGTTTTTTGATTTATTGTAGAGGTGAGATCTTGCCAAGTTTCCCAGGCTGGTCTCAAACCCTGGGCTCAGGTAATCCTTTTACCTTGGCCTCCCAAAGTGCTGAGATTACAGTTGTGAGTCACCATGCCCAGCCCTGAAAATTTTTTTTCAAAAATCTTGGGCCAGGCATAGTGACTCACACCTGTAACGCCAGTTTCTTAGGAGGCTGACATGGGAAGATTGCTTGAGACCAGCCTGGGTAACACAGTACCAAACAAAAACATAGTGGGGTAGGGGGTGGGGGGAATGGGGTGGCGTGTGCGTGTAGCCCCAGCTACTCAGGAGAACTAGCATAGTTAGGGGGACAGAACAAGACCCTGACTGTTATTTTTATTTTTTATTTTTTTGAGTAGGAGTGTCACTCTGTCACCCAGGCTGTAGTATAGTGACATACTCATGACTACTGTAGCCTCAACTTGCTGGGCTAAGGCAATTCTTCAGCCTCAGCCTTCTAAATAACTGGAATCACAGGCGTGCGCCACCATACCTGGCTAATTTTTTGATTTATTGTAGAGACAAGGTCTCGCCATGTTACCCAGGCTGGTCTCTAACCTGTGGGCTCAAGCAATCCTCTCACCTCCGTCTCCCATAGTGCTGGGACTACAGGTGTGAGCCACCATGCCCGGCTCTGTTATTTTTAAAAAATTAAAATCTTGGGCTAACACTTCTTGATACAGTGATTTGAAGGTATGGTTATAGGTTAATTTTTTTTTCAAATCTTGTTTTTTCTCTTACAAAGATACATAATCACTTGTTTGTCTTGCAGACGAATCAGTTGTTACTTTTCTATATTTTTCCAGATGTGAGTCATGCCACTCCTGCTCAGAGCTTTGTGGTGGCCCCTTATGGGACCTGCTGGCCCTCTGGGGTTTGCCCTTGCATCCCTACCCCATTCCCCTAGCTTCTGATTGTCTTTCACTGTTCTCCTCTCACACTGCTTCTACCAAGCTTGCTTCCCGCCTGTTTCTTGAACATTCCGGGCACATTTCTATCCTAAGCCTTTTGCACTCTGACACTTCCTGGAACACTGTCCTCCTCCCCCTTTCAAATCTGCATGACTGTCTTATCCTCTTTAAACTGTCTTCGCGTGTCAACTCAGTGACGTCTCTTCCCTGATTTTCCCAATTTTCCCTGTTAAAATTGCATCCCTGCTGTCCACCATTCCTGATTGCCCTATGATTTATTTTCTCTCTCTTTTTTTAAAAGAGATAGAGGCTCTCTCTCTGTCACCCATGCTGGAGTGTGGTGGCGCCATTATAGTTTACTGCAACCTCAAACTCCTGGGCTCAAGGGATCCTGCCACCTTGGCCTCCCGAAGTGTTAGGCATGAGCTGCTGTACCTGTCCTGATTTCTTTTTTCATTATACTTATTTTTCTTTAATTATTATCTTTTAGTTTGTGTGTACCACAATGATACCACATTGACTATTTCTGACTTTAGCTTCTTTGCCATGATCACTTGCCTATAAATGTTTCAGTGAATGAATTTCTTTTATAGTTTCTAATTTTTCAAAATATTATCCTAGTCAAAGGAACAAGCTGCTTCTTCTAAAAAACATTGTTTATATTAAAGAAGCTGGCCAGGCGAGGTTTGGGAGACTGAATCAAGAGGATTGCCTGAGCCCAGGAGTTTAAGACCAGCCTGGGCAACGTGGCGAGAACTCGCCTCTACATAAATAAAAAAATTAGCTGGGCATGGTGGTGCGTGCCTGTAATCTCAGCTACTTGGAAGACTGAGGTGGAAGGATCGCCTGAGCCCAGCAGGCTGAAGCTACAGTAGCCATGATTGTGCCACTACACCCTAGCCTGGGTGACAGAGTGAGACTCCAATTCAAAAAAAAAAGTCATTTACTATTGAAGATATCTTTCTTTTCATGGCTAACACAAAAAACAGTTCTTTGTGTTTTTCATTATTATTGGTTCAGAACTCTGTAAGTCCTGTAAAGCGAAACGTATCAGAAGCCCCATGTATTTTATAAGTGACTCTAATACTTGTTAACTTCTTTAGCAGTGTACTCTATCAGTATTTTCTGGCAGGAGTGCATTTTGTTATTTTCTTACTACATTTTTTTTTCCATATCAGTAAGGAAAAGTGACTTTTTGTGGTTTTTTTTTTTTTTGACATTTATAAAGAAAAGCATCACAAGCACACACATTGTATATACTGTATACTGACAGAAGTAAAAAAAATGTATCTTCTGCAAATTCACAGTATAAAAAATAGTCTTTTAAATATACACACACACACACATACATGAAAAACAATATATTTTTTAAATCATTGATATTGTATGGGAACCCAATGGCAGCTTCTGAAAAAACCAGAGAACTTGTCACAGAGAACTTGTCTAGCAGAGCTCCTGATTTTGGTGTGGGGGTGATTGGTCTTTTGTTGCAAAAGAGCTCAGAGTACTAACAGGAAAAGTATGATGGCCTAGGTGGTAATAAAATCTCTATTAAACGAAAGTACAATTGTGTGACTAGGGTAGATGGGTAGGTGCCAGGCTCTGGGTCAGAGGCTGCGTGGCTTGTGCCCGCCTCCTGCTGGCTAGTAAACCATGTTCTTCCATTGGCTGCTGAGAACATGGCGTTTGCCAATGCTGCCCTGCCTGCAGGAAGCACCAGTGCTGATTCTATTCTAGCAAGGCTCCCTAAGACCATTGATCTTTGACTATCAAGGAAGTAACTCTAGAGTGTTTGATTGTAAAGGACTGAATAGGATTTAAAATTTTTTTCTAATTTTTTTTCACTGAGAATATGTAGAGCACAAATATGACTTTTAAATCTCATGGAAATAACTGTAAGTTTGTCTTCATGTTTTAAATGTTTTGCTAATTGTGATAGTCTTTTACTATAATTAGCTAATATCTCAAGGTACAATATATACAAAGGACAAAGATAGTATATATAAATTCATATTTCAAATGATGATCTGAATTTTCTGACTTGTTAGATTTGGTGGTATTTATCTTTTTTTTTTTTTTTTTTTTTTTGAGTGGTAGTCTCACTCTGTCAACCATGCTAGAATACAGTGGCACGCTCACAGCTACTACTGCCTCGACCTGCTGGGCTCAAGTGATTCATCCACATCAGCCTCCCAAGTTGCTGGGATCACAGGCGTGTGCCACCACACCCTGCTAATTATTTTGATTTATTGTAAAAACAAAGTCTTGCCAAGTTAGTTTCCCAGGCTGTTCTCAAACAGTGCTCAGGACTGCTCAGGCAGTCCCCTTGCCTCCACCTCCCAAAGTGCTGGGATTACAAGAGTGAGCCAGTGTGCTCAGCCTGCATTTATCTTTCTTTAATCCCGTGATATGTATGATGTAGGGAGAAGGTGAAGTCTCGGTTCTTCCATTTTCATCTTTTCTTGCCTCTTTCTATTCTATCTGTAGGCACTTTGTTAATTTTTCACAATCTTTTAAAGCTACCACTGTACTTTTTGTTGAGGTTGTTTGGTTAAGACAAGATATCTGTCAGGTTCCTTGACTGGGCAGTCAGAAACAGAAATGTCACAGTATGCTGAGACATTTAAAAAACGAATGAGGACCCCATCCCTCTACCCTTCTGCATGCAGGTTAGGAGCTCTGTCACATGCACAAGTGATAGATCATCACTGTCAGTTCTTATTTTAAATATGTTAGTAAACTTAATTTTTCTCAGTTCTTTAATATAAATGGAAGATCTAATATTTACTTTACGTACCATGGTGGATCTTTTTGGAGCATCTTACTTTGAGATAAGTGGTGTACAGGGCTTTGAGTTTATTGACACTAATACTGTAGGGAGCATTGAGTTTTTTAAATAATTAACTTGGAAATGTGTTCACAGATTTCTAAATTTCTTTTTTTTCATGTGTGTCTGTATTTTGCCCAGTAAAAGATAATGGCTAGCTAGGTATGGTAGCTCATGCCTGTAATCCCAGCACTTTGGGAGGCCGAGGTGAGAGGATTGCCTGAGCCCAAGACTTTGAGACCAGCCTGGAAACTTGATGAGATCTTGTCTCTACAATAAATCAAAAAATTAGTCGGGCAGCAGTTCGAGGCTGTGGTGGCTGTGAGTGTTCCACTGTACTCCAGCTGGGGCAATATCGAGATTTTTTTATTCCAACTAAATAAACAAATAAAATATGTTGGTAATGTAGGATAAGAATATGGTTTGAGTTCTTTAAGCTTTTTTTTTCTTGAGTTGGAGTCTCGTTCTGTCACCCAGACTGGAGTGCAGTGGCATGCTCCCGGCCACCGCAGCCTCACCCTGCTGGGCTCCGATAATCCTTCCACCTCACCCTTCCAAGTAGCCGGAACTACAGGCATGTGCTACCATGCCCAGCTAATTTTGATTTATTGTAGAGACGAGGTCTCGTCAAGTTGCCCGGGTGGGTCTTGAACCCACGGGCTCAGGCAATCCACTCGCCTCGGCCTCCCTAAGTGCTAGGATTACAGGCTGAGCCACCAAGCCAACCTAGCTCTTCATTTTTTTAAGGTTTATTTTATTTTATTTTATTTCATTTTTTTGAGTTGGAGTCTCACTCTGTTGCCCAGACTGCGATGCAGTGGCCGCTCCCGGCCACTGCAGCCTCGACCTGCTGGGCTCCGGCGATCCTTACGCCTCAGCCTTCCAAGTAGCTGGAACTACAGGTATGCGCTACCACACCCGGCTGATTTTTTGATTTATTGTAGAGATGAGGTCTCGTCAAGTTGCTCAGGCGGGTCTCGAACCCGTGGGCTCAGGCAATCCACTCACCTCAGCCTCCCAAAGGCGCGGGATTTCAGGCTGAGCCACCGAACCCGGCTTGTTTTATTTTTTTACATTAGAAAATTAGTTTATTTAGATAGTAAATGTGAGAGAGAAAGAGGAGATTCACCTCCCAGGGTAGGAGAAGGGACCAAAGCTAGGAAACATGGCCTGGCCATAGCTTAAAGAGGACATGGCCACACCATAGCAAGGAAATGGCCTTTAATTTATGTACGTATGTATGTATATATGTCAGAGTCTCACTTTATCGTCCAGGCTAGAGTGCAGTGACATGCTCACAGCAAACACAGCCTCAACCTGCTGGACTCAGGCAACCCTTCCACCTCAGCCTTCCAAGTAACTAGAACTATAGGCGGATACCACCACATCCAGCTAATTTTATTTATTTATTGTAGAGGTGAGGTCTTGCCATGTTGCCCAGGCTGGTCTTTAACCCATAGGCTCAGCCAGTCCTCTTGCCTCTGCTTCCCACAGTGCTGGGATTACAGGCATGAGCCACTGCTCCAGGCTTTTATTAGCTAAAAGCATAAAATATTTCTAATCATAACTAAGAACTACTTTTTTCCTTTTTTTTTAAGAAACTGTTTCACTGTTGCCTAGGCTGGTCTCGAACTCCTAGGCTCAAGCAATCATGCTGCCTCAGCCTTTTAAGTGCTGGGATTATAGGCATGAGCTGTTGCACCCAACCTCACACATTTTTTTTTTTTTTGAGTTGGAGTCTCACTCTGTCGCCCAGACTGGAGTGCAGTGGCCGCTCCCAGCCACTGCAGCCTCGACCTGCTGGGCTCCGGCGATCCTTCTGCCTCAGCCTTCCAAGTAGCCGGAATTACAGGCATGTACTACCACGCCCGGCTGATTTTTTGATTTATTGTAGAGATGAGGTCTCGCTGCCCAGGTGGGTCTCGAATCCGCAGGCTCAGGCAATCCACTCACCTCAGCCTCCCAAGGTGCGGGATTACAGGCTGAGCCACTGAGCCCAGCCATATTTTTTAATAGTATTTCCAATTGAGTTAACATGCCTCTTTAAAGTGATGTATATATAAGTTCTTTTACTTACTTCAGTCAATCATGTATTCACAACATTGTAATAACTTCACAAATTGTTTTTCCAGGTCTTGCCACTTTAAACTGTTTTTCAGTTAAAAGTTGCATTAGCACTTTGTCTAACTGGGCTAACACTGTAAATGTACTGGCTTTTTCTTTTCTACTGCAGATGAAGTAGGTGAAAACAGTGGCCATGATGTAACTGCTGCTGTGTTAGATCCCTTTTCTACAGACTCACCTGAAAGTGAGAAGTTTGCTTCTGAGTCAAGTAGAAGCCTAACAGAAGAGCAGCAACAACGGATTGACAGAAATAGACAGCTGGCCTTGGAAAGACGGCAGGCAAAGCTACTGAGTAGTAGTCAGTCCCTAGGAAATGGTAAAGTTTATACTTGGTGTTATGTGCTACCATTAACATATCAATGGCATGTTACAATTTTTAACTTTTCTACTGTCCGCTGAAAGAAAATATTTCTGGGAATAGAAAAGTATGATGTTACATTTATATATATGAAAAGAAGATGGAGTGAGAGAATGTGTATATGTGTTATTTGGAATCCCCAGAATAAATGAGGTGAAGATGATTTACTAGATAGCTGAGTACCTCTTACAATTTTTATTTTAATCATTTAAAATTGATTTTAAGGCAGGCACGGTGGCTCGTTTCTGTAATCCCAGCACTTTGGGAAGCAGAGGTGAGAAGATTGCCTGAGCAATCCTGGACAACCTTAGCGAGACTCGTCTCTGTAATCCAAAAATTAGCCAGGAGCTATGGCTCAAAGTGCTGTAATCCCAGCACTTTGGGAGGAGTTGCCTGAGCTCAGAGGTTCGAGACCAGCCTGAGCAACATGGGAGACCTCGTCTCCACACTGAGTCAAAAAATTAGTCGGGCTTGGTGGCGCATGCCTGTGTTTCCAGCTACTTGGAAGACTGAGGAGGAAGGATCACCTGAGCCCAGCAGGTAGTGGCCATGAGCATGCCACTGCACTCCAGCCTGGGCAAGAGACACTGACTCAAAAAAAAAATATTAGCCACATGTGGTGGTACATTCCTGTAGTTCCAGCTACTTGGAAGACTGAGGCAGAAGGATCACCTGATCCCAGGAGGTTGAGGGCGCAGTGGCCATGAGTATGCCACTGCACTTCAGCCTGGGCGAGTGAGACTCTGACTCTAAGATAGATAGACAGAGTAGGACTCTGAGTCTAAGATAGGTAGGTAGGTAGATTAATTTTAAAAGTTTCAAAAATATATTCTTACCTGACTCTTACTTATATAACATAATATTATCATGAGGATCATAGTTACAGAAAATTTATGATGCTTCTTCCCCAAACATATAAAATGCCTTTCTATACCTATGAAAGATTTGAGAGCAGTTTTTGGTATGACATGAATAGGTTCTAAAATGCCTTGTGTCCTGTGGTGTTACTTTTGGCAACTGTTTATCTGTACCATTCCCTTCTCACTTCTAAAACCACCTTAAAATTTGCTGTTTTGAAAACATAGATAGCCAGGTTTGCTAAAACTCTGTTTTAAAAGAATTCAAGTTGGTTTTGAATGAAATAAGCAGGATTGCATATTTTTTTCTTACTTTTCAATCCAGTTTTTTATATTTTTTTCAAAATGGGAAAATAGAATCAGAATAAGTAGGATATGGTGGCTCATGCCTATAATTTCAGTGGGTGGCCAGTGTGAGAAGTTCACTTGAGCCCAGGGGTTCAAGGCTGCAGTGAACTATGATTGTGCTGTTACGCTCCAGCCTGGAAGACAAAGGGAGACTATTTCAAAAAAACTAGAATAAGCGTGTAGATAACCATGATTTTTTTCAGTTAAAATGAATTTATCTTTATAGATTGATGTTTTTTCCATGTGAAAAATTACTTGAAGACAGAACTGTTGTTGATGGTGGTGACTTCCTTGCTATCACTATCAAAGTATACTTATCCATCAGTGTTTAAGGCTCACCTTCTATTTATAATATACAACTTAAAATTTGATTAAATAGAAATAAGTTTCTTAGTTTCTTACTGTAGATAACTTTGATATAAAACTTTATAGTAATGTTTATTTTGAATAAGAATTTGACTGATTCAGGGGTTTAATACCATTCAGTACTCTTTTGCATTGCTTTTTTTTTTGAGTTGGAGTCTCACTCTGTCACCCAGACTGGAGTGCAGTGGCCGCTCCCGGCCACCGCAGCCTCAACCTGCTGGGCTCCAGCGATCCTTCCACCTCAGCCTTCCAAGTAGCTGGAACTACAGGCATGCGCTACCACGCCCAGCTAATTTTTGACTTATTGCAGAGATGAGGTCTCACCAAGTTGCCCGGGCGGGTCTCTAACCCGCGGGCTCAGGCAATCCACTCACCTCAGCCTCCCAAGGCGTGGGATTACAGGCTGAGCCACTGAGCCCAATTACCTTTTTTTTTTTTTTTTTAAATTTTTAATTTTTTGAGTTGGAGTCTCAATCTGTCACCCAGGCTGGAGTGCAGAGGCACGCTCATGGCTACCCCAGCATTGATCTGCCACAGCCTTCCAAGTAGCCAGAACCACAGGCGTGTGCTACTGCACCTGTCTAATTTTTTATTTATTGTAGAGACAAAGTCTCACCAAATTGCCCAAACTGCGGGCTTAGGCAATCCACTCGTCTCGGCCTCCCAAAGTGCTGGGATTGCAGGCTGACCCACCGAGCCCAGCCCTCTTTTACATTTTAAATGGATATTTGCACATGTATAAAAATAGTTTATTTAGAAAAAGCAATCACAATATTAACTAAGTGATTATGAATTGCATTTCTGCATATATATATATCATATATATAGCATACATATATGATATATATATATATATATATTTGCATTGGCATCTCTGTTGCCCAGGTTAGAGTGCAGTGGCACGCTCATGGCCATCCCAGCATCAGCCTACTGGGCTCTTCAATCCTTCTGCCTCAGCCTTCCAAGTAGCTGGAACTACAGGCACACGCTACCACGCCCAGCTAATTTTTTGTTTATTATAGATATGAGGTCTTGCCAAGTTGCCCAGGCTGGTCTTGAACCCACAGGCTCAGGCAATCCACTCACATTGGCCTCCCAAAGTGCTGGAATTACAGGCTGAGCCACCGAGCCCATCCCTCATCTAATCTTTTGAAGATATTTGCATTTAGGTAAGATTGGACCAGGTGCCTGTGAGTAATGATGATGTGATTCTCTTTCAGACATGTTAACGAACACACCTGGGGCACCAGCAGTTGGAGAAATTAATGCTGGTGAGGATCAAGAGGAGTCAGAGGGATTGGAGAGAGACACTCCAGACAGTCCACATAGGGATGCTCCTAATACATTAAGTGAAGAGGAGGAGTTAAAATCAGAGGAAACACGAATGGACCAGTCTTTTTTTTAAAAATGTGTAATAGTAACTTTGTGGTTCATCTACTACGAGAAATGCCTTGTGTCATGTGGTGTCACTTTTGACGGCTGTTTATCTGTAGCATCTTCTTCTCACTTCTAAAACTGCCTTAAAATGTGCTGTTTTTAAAACACTGTGGGTTTGGAAACCAGATAGCCAGGTTTGCTAAAACTATTTTAAAAGAATTGCAGGCTGGGTGCAATGGCTTATGCCTATAATCCTAGCACTTTGGGAGGCCGACGTGAGAGGATTGCCTGAGCCCACAGGTTCGAGACCAGCCTGGGCAACTTGGCAAGACCTTGTTTCTACAATACATCAAAATAATTGGGGTGGGGAGGATAATTAGCCAGATGTAGTGGCGTATGCCTATAGTTCCAGCTACTTGGAAGGCTGAAGCAGAAGAATCGCCTGAGCCCAGCAGGTCGAGGCTGTGGTGGCCATGAGTATGCCGCTGCACTCTAGCCTGGATGATAGAGTGAGACTCCAACTTAAAATAAAAAAAAAAGATGTAAATATCACTGGGCACAGTGACTCCAGCCTGTAATCCCAGCACTTTTGGAGGCTGAGCTAGGAAGATCACTTGAGACCAGGAGTTTGAGACCTGGGCAATAAAGTGAGACCCCCATCACTATAAAAAATAGCTGGTTGTGGTAGTGTGCATTTGTGGTCCCAGCTACTTGGGAGACTGAGGCAGGAGAATCCCTTGAGTCCAAGAGTTCATGGCTGTGATGAGCCCTGATCATGCTACTGCACTCTTGCCTGGGCAATAGAATGGAACCCTGTCTGAAGAAAATAAAAGTAAATATCCATTGAATATTAATGTACATTTTTAAAAAGTAGTAAAAATAATTATCTTGTAAACTATTTCTAGAGGCATTATGAACATTTGTAATTGCTATTTCTGCAGTTTACACTTTTGCAATTGTGTAAGGTTTTTATGTGTTTCTTGAGTCACTTTAATACTTAAAAGCTCACATGAAGCTGGGCTTGGTGGCTCAGTCTGTAATCCCGCGCCTTGGGAGGCTAAGGTGAGTGGATTGCCTGAGCCCGCGGGTTCGAGACCTGCCCGGCCAACTTGGTGAGACCTCATCTCTACAATAAATCAAAAAATTAGCCGGGGATGGTAGCATGCGCCTGTAGTTCCAGCTACTTGGAAGGCTGAGGCGGAAGGATCGCCGGAGCCCAGCAGGTCAAGGCTGCAGTGGCCGGGAGCGGCCACTGCACTCGAGTCTGGGCAACAGAGTGAGACTTCAACTCAAAAAAAAGGAAAAAAAGCTCACATGAAAGACATATGTTGCCTGGCTTTCATAGGTGCTAAGGGAAGTTCAAAGAAAACTTTTTGGTACCTTACTAGTTGGAGAAAAACTTGCCAAATATCCTGGGGAGCATAGCATCTGCAAAGAATTCACAGGAAAGAGCTTGTATTTGGTGGAGGAGATTCCAAGTATTGGGAAGTATATGTACAGCAATGATACAGAAATAAAGATTGAGGCAATAAGGGAGATTTGGAATGGTGACTTAGAAGATAGAAGCGTTAGGGCCAGAAGGTGAGGACCTGACTGGAGCTCCTCCTGTGGTGGAGGGGGAGTTGCAAAGTCTGGTTCTGGTTCTTGGCAGGAGACTGCCATGGAGGGTGGGAAAGGCAAAGCTAGTTTTTACAAAGAAGGAGACTGGGGGCTGGGCTTGGTGGCTCAGTTTGTAATCCCGCACTTTGGGAGGCTGAGGTGAGTGGATTGCCTGAGCCCACGGGTTAGAGACCCGCCTGGGCAATTTAGTGAGACCTCATCTCTACAATAAATCAAAAAAAATTAGCCAGGCGTAGTGGCGCGCGCCTGTAATTCCGGCTACTTGGAAGGCTGAGGTGGAAGGATCGCCAGAGCCCAGCAGGTCAAGGCTGCAGTGGCCAGGAGTGGCCACTGCACTCCAGTCTGGGTGACAGAGTGAGACTCCGACTCAAAAAAAAAAAAGGAGACTGGGAAGATTACCCTCTGTGAGCAGGGTTCATGTTTGTAAAGAGAGTCCCATCTTCTCTCCCCTTGGGGAAGGAGCAGGGTGATGGTACTATAATGGATTCCAGCCACAAGGCCAGGAGGGGAAAGCATTTTTCAGGCTTTCAGACTCATGGTGGGGACAGGGAATGACAAACACGGTTTGCTTGAAAAGCCAGGAAGTTGAGCACAAGAACATGTGGGATGGGTACAGGGGAGGGACCTTTGGGGAACAGTTCCCCTGCTGGGAACTACCATTTGATGGGCCCAGAGGCACCTGCATGGAGAGGATAGGATGTGGCTTATTTGCTGCCTGTGGGAATCAGCTGGAAGATGGAGACCAGTGCCTGGAGAAACAGCAATCTCAGGAGGATGTTCAGCCTCCAGCCACCCTCTTGAGCCGGGTCAGAGAGCAGTGATTGAGGAGGAAGAGCTGCCTTCCCCAGTGGGGGGTATGCTGCAAAGTAACATGTTTTTTTTTTTTTTTGAGTTGGAGTCTCATTCTGTCGCCCAGACTGGAGTGCAGTGGCCGCTCCCGGCCACCACAGCCTTGACCTGCTGGGCTCCGGCGATCCTTCCGCCTCAGCCTTCCGAGTAGCTGGAACTACAGGCATGTGCTACCACGCCCGGCTGATTTTTTTATTTACTGTAGAGATGAGGTCTCGCCAAGTTGCCGGGCGGGTCTCGAACCCGCGGGCTCAGGTAATCCCCTAACCTCAGCCTCCCAAGGTGAGACTCTAACTCAAAAAAAAAAAAAGGCCAGCATCCTGCCTTGCACAGCCACCATCTACTGTTTACAAAGTAAACAAGTTTTTAAATTTACAATTAAGTTTGCGAACTTATCCTAGAAAACGTGCTCCATACCTTATTGCTGAATATCACTATGGTCACCTTCAAAGTATTCCCCTTGGGAAGCTATACACCAATGCCAGTGCCCAGTCCACCTGTCAAAGCAATTTTGGAGCTCTTTTTTGGGAATGGCCATCAGTGCTATTGTACTACCCTTGATGTCCCGAATCAACAAACTGTCTTCCAATATTTCCTTTATCTTTAGGTAAAGAAAGAATTCATTGGGGGACTAGATCAGGTGAGTAGGGAGGGTGTTCTGATTACAGTTACTTGTTTACTGGCTAAAAGCTCCCTCACAGACAGTACTGTGTGAGCTGGTGCATTGTGATGCAAGAACTCCTTTTTTGGACACACCTTTCTCATGCCAAGGCTTTAAGATTTTCCTGTTTCTCGGTCGATGTTTATCTGGTCTGCTATGCTTCTCGCAGCTGCTGATTTTCATGCACAATTCGATGAATTTTTGCAATGTTTTCATCATTCTGCTTGTTACTAGCTGTCCTGATCACTTCAGTGATGCTTTCTCTCCCCTCAGAAAAACATGTAATCCTTTTCTACATTGCCGCTTTCTTCATGGCATTATTCCCATAAACTTGGGCTGTGTCCGATTTCACAGTCCAAGTTTAACAAGAAATGTAATGTTTGTTCGTTGCTCTAATTCAAGCTCTGACATTCTCATGACAATTGCTCTGATGGCCGTTCCAGAAAGTGTTCCAAAATTCCTTTGAGAGGTGAACTAAGTGCTTGTGTTGGGGCATAGCTTCCCAAGGAGAGTACGTCAAAGGTGGCTGTAGTGATACTCAGCAATGAGATATGTAGCACTGTTTAAGGGTGAGTTTGTGAACTTAATTGTCAGACCTTGTACTCACTACCAAAAAATCAGTTTCCTAAATGGCCTATTTTCACTTTATTTAATCAGATAACATTTTACATGTCTGTGAAATAGCTACCCAGTTCTGACTGACTAGAGCACTGAGTAATACACAAGATTGGTTAAATGTTAAGTTTGAAAAGATAGTCACACAAGACAAAGGTCTTTTAATGGAGTAGTTCATATTCTACAACTGCTTGAAACGTCCAGGAGAGCCAGGTCCCTGATCTCCTCTAGAAGCATATACAGGCTTTTTCCCTTTGTCTGGCGATATTCCTGATACTCTTCCTGAATGCTGTCTCTTGGGACCTCCTGGGCAAGCTGAGCTTCCTCCACGGATCTGGTGACTTCCTTCACCAAGTCACTCTTCAGCAGGAGAGCACTCTGAAGAAAGGGCTCTGCACCTGGTGTCATGTGCAGTTTGTTGCTTATGATCTCAAGTCTGATTATATCTGAATGGCAGCGGGAGGCCTGTACAGATATTCTTACCTACACAGAGGAGAAACACACTTTACTAAATCACAGTCTTTGTTCTTTACCTTGAAAATAATAACATATATAGAGACTTACTGTGACATGGTCAAACAAGTGGAATGTGACAGACGCCCCTTCTGTTGTGGTAGAGGTGATTTTGTTCTGAGACCGCTGAAGGGATCCTGGTTTCCACTCAGAATGGCCATCTGGGCCACATGAGATCACTAAACCATCTTTATTTTTTAGATAAGCAGCACCTTTAATTCCAAACCTAAATCATTGCCAGAATAGAAATCCAGAGATAACATATTGTTAGCATGCAGATCCTGTATACTCATTTGGATGTCAGTTTTTCCTCTAGATTAAAAACAAAACCCTTTTCCTATGCTCTACCTCCAAATTTTTATCTCACCTTAGCAGATGGAAATGCAAATGTTTTATTAAAGTAAAGTAAAAGACTAAGATTGATTGAGAAGGACATGTATACATATCCCAGTCTCCTACTTATATGCTGAGTTATACATTATGCACATAAGGTCTCTTTACAGCTGCCTAAATATTTTAATAAGTCACATCTGTACTGTTGTATTCTACACTCTAGTTGATCTGTGACTTTTTGCACCACTGCTGGGGCTGGAACACACCTTGGTAGGAATAGGAGTACGCCGTTGGTTCTAATGGAATAGATCACACCGTCGGATGTGCAGCGCTCCTCGGCCTCGGGGTCCCTGTCTCGGAAGTACATGCACTGGAAGAGCTCGGTCGATTGCTTCTGAGCGCGCTGTGCTGCCTGGAAGAGCATGGCCCATGGTGTTACCACAGGCATACCCAACGCTCCCAGAGTGAATGGGAAATTCAAGTCCCACAGAAACAACTACACAAGACTAGACTCTATATAACTGTTAATACACAAGTTATTTTCTATTGCGAGTTAAGTCACTTTTTGTAGGAAACTAACCATCTAGTATTATCCCCTCACTGTGTCTTAGAAAATGAATTCTCTTAAAAAATAAAACCTATTAGTAGTTCATCAAATTAGAGATTGGCAAGTTTTGATTTTAGGTACAGAAAGTATCTTGCATGGCTTGCCCTTCTCTTCAGCTTGTGCTTCCTAAATCCTGCTGGAGGAGCCTTCTGTGGAGGAGACAATTGAGTGACATGTCTTATGCATGTACACTTCTTGGCTCAGCAATTCCATTTCTAGGGCTGTGTGCAGGTGATAGATAGTCTTAGAAGTCTGTAAATGAGCTGGGCTCGGTGGCTCAGCCTGTAATCCCGTGCTTTGAGAGGCTGAGGTGAGTGAATGGCCTGAGCCCGCGGGTTCGAGACCTGCCTGGGCAACTTGGCGAGACCTCATCTATACAATAAATCAAAAATAAAATTAGTCAGGCGTGGTAGTGCGCACCTGTAGTTCCAGCTACTTGGAAGGCTGAGGCGGAAGGATCGCCGGAGCCCAGCAGGTCGAGGCTGCGGTGGCTGGGAGCGGCCACTGCACTCCAGTCTGGGCGACAGAGTGAGACTCCAACTCAAAAAAAAAAAAAAAAAGGAAATCTGTAATGTGTATTCATAGCAGCATTGCCCACCAACACCTTCTACAGTGATGGAAATGTTCTGTATCGGGGTGCCTTATAGGCAGCCTCAAACCACAACTGGCTTCTCAACACATGAAGTGTGACTAGTGTGGCTGAGGAACTGAGTTTCTACTTCTAATTTTAGTTAAATTTAAACAGCCAACGTGGCTAGTAGCTACAATATTGCATAGCAGAAAACTAGAAAACTGGACACAGAAAATTAAACATTTAGGCAGTTTCTAACTTTCTGCATCACCCAATGGTCTATTTTCATGCTGCACAATCTGGTAGCAACTATTAATAGTAACAACATGAACAAAATAGAACACCAAGCAGCTTCTAAAATGATGATATAACATCCTGTGTTTTCACAACAGGTGTGTTAACTGAAAGCAGATTTACAACAGCAACGTGGGGTGTGTGTGTTTGTATGTGTGTGTGTATTTTTTGAGTCAGGGTCTTACTGTGTTGCCCAGGCTGCAGTGGCATGATCATGGCCCACCACAGCCTCATCAGGGCTCAGGTGATTCTCCCACCTCAGACTCCTGAGTGGCTGGGACTATAGGCACACACTACCACGCCTGGCTAATTTTTGTATTTTGTGTAAAGATAAGGTCTCACTACGTTGCCCAGGTTGGTCTCAGATTCCCACATCAAGCAATCCTTCTACCTTGTCCTCCAATGTGAGCATTGTCTGAAAATGGTAACAAGGGTGGTCTCAGGTGCTTACAGAGTAGGTGATCTTGTCTTCATGTCTTTATGCATTACCTGAGCCTTTACATTCTCATCTTTTGGTAAAAAAAAATCTAATCTACTGTCATATCTCCCATACCACATACATTACCTCAAAACATGTGTAAATATATGGAAAGCAGTGGCTAGAATAATTTTATAGAATATATGATACTTCACTCTACTACACAATAAAGCTGATACTCTCTTAGCAAGAGATGATAGGTAATATAATTTTTAAATTCCTTCTTACTCGGTTTCTGTTGTTGATATGTCTGCATAATTCCTCAAGATCTTTGTTGCTGAACAAATTTTCCTTTATTTCCATTTTCTTATCTTTTGAAATAGCTGCCAGTAACAGTCGGTGTACTATGATATCTGAATATCTTCTTATTGGAGAAGTAAAGTGGGTGTATTTATCTAGTGCAAGACCTTCAAAAAGAAACCAAAAGATCAAAATAAACAACAAAAAAATGGTTTTTAAGCAACTTGCTCACACTGACAGCAATATGGGAACAAGCTAACTCGCACCATAGTGGTGGAACTCCTCCTCCGCACAGGACCCGGTGGAGAAGTACAGCGCGTTGGCCATGGCCTGCGTGGCCATTGAGCGCAACAGCCTGTTCACGACGGGATCGCCAGGGTCATTCGCTTTATCCAGGGAGTCGGCCAGCGTTTTGTTGGACCTGACAACAGAACAGAAAGGCCTTTAGTGACTCACAGACAAGTGAGCACTCTGAGTGGTACTACCACTTACCAGGCTGAGTACCTTCACCTGCCAGTAGTTATATTTATTTTGGACACACTTGACAAGCAACTCTTTTCAGGTACAGAAATCTAGTTTGCTTTAAGGTTTAAACAAAGCAAGAGTGAATTTAAATAAATGTCTTAGGTAGTAAAGAGTGACATGCTGACTAATTCTGTGTTAAGTCAGTGCTTGGCCACAGTAGGTAGTCAAACACTCTTTGGATTGAATTTCTTTTTCTTTTTTGAGTTGGAGTCTCATTCTGTCGCCCAGACTGGAGTGCAGTGGCCGCTCCCGGCCACCGCAGCCTCAACCTGCTGGGCTCTGGCTATCCTTCCACCTCAGCCTTCCAAGTAGCTGGAACTACAGGCGCGTGCTATCACGCCCGGCTAATTTTTTGATTTTTTTGTGGCAATGAGGTCTCACCAAGTTGCCCAGGCGGGTCTCGAACTTGCGGACTCAGGCATTCCACTCACCTCAGCCTCCCAAGGCGCGGGATTACAGGCTGAGCCACTGAGCCCAGCTGGACTGAATTTCTAACACTCTTTTTTTTTTTTTGAGTCAGAGTCTCTGTTGCCCAGGCTGGAAGGCAGTGGCATGCTCACAGCCACTGCAGCCTCGACCTGCTGGGCTCAGGCAATCCTTCTGCCTCAGCCTTCCAAGTAACTGGAACTACTGGTTTATTTATTATTATAGAGATGAGGTCTCGCCATGTTGCCCAGGCTGGTCTTGAACCCTTGGGCTCAGGCAATTCTCCTGCCTCCACCTCCAAAGAGCTGGGATTATAGGCGTGACCTTAGACATCCTTCGTAAGTCAAAGAATGCACTTGGTGCACAAATAAGATAAACCTACATTAGTTCTTTTTAAAAGAGATAGGAAACTATTTATTTATTCTCAAGACAGCAATTTTTAAATCCCCAGGAAATATATCTTAAAAACAAGACTAATAATACAACATAGAACTCAGTTCTGTATTGTGGCTACTTAAGAGGAACGGGGAAGGCGGGCAGGACCAAAGAGGAACAAAAGAGCAATGTGTTCAGGGGTACCACGGGAGCTTTCAATTATTAGACAGATTCTATTCAGATCCTGGTTCTGCCCTGACTGTTAAATTATATGCAAGTTACTTAATTTCTCTAGATTTAACTTCCCCATCTGTAAGATATGAATAATACCACCATCACCTCAGTGTTGTAAGAATTAATCAAGAGGAAATCTGAAGCCTTTGCCATGTGTGTCTGGCATGCATGCAGCTCAACTGGTGACCACCACCCAAAAAACACTTGCTTGAAGGCAGAAGCAAAAAAATAAAATAAAATAAAATAAAAGTCTCTGTGGCTTATAATTCCTTTACTTTGAGGCCAAGGCAGGAGAATCGCTAGAACCCAGGAGTGTGAGACCAGCCTGGGCAACATAGCAAGACCGTTTCTACAGAAATAAAAATGAAAAATAGGCCGGGCTATGTGGCTTAGCCTGTAATCCCAGCAATTTGGGAGGCTGGGGTGAGTGGATTGCCTGAGCCTGCGGGTTCAAGACCAACTGGGCAATTTGGCAAGACCATGTCTCTGCAATAGATCAAAACCTAGTGGGGCGTGGTAGCGCAAGCCTGTAGTTCCTGCTCGCTCTGTCACCAGGCTGGAGTGTACTGGCATGCTCATGGCCACCGCAGCCTTGACCTGCTAGACTCAGGCAATCCTTCTGCTTCAGCCTTCCAAGTAGCTGAAACCACTGTGCCCAGCTGCTGCATTAAAAAGTACTGAAATTGCTGGGTGGTGTGTTGTAATCCCAGCACTCTGAGAGGCAGATACGAGAGGACTGCCTGAGCCCATGGGTTCCAGATCAGCCTGGGCATCATGGAGACCTCATCTGTAAAATAAATTAAAATTAGCCAGGCATGGTAGCACACACCTGTAGTTTCAGCTAATTGGAAGGCTGAAGCAGGATTGCCTGGATCCAGCAGGTCAAGGCTGTGGTGGCCATGAGCATGCCAGTACACTCCAGCCCGGTGACAGAGTGAGGCTCTGACTAAAAAAAAAAAATTACTGGGCAACCCCTTTGGGTCCTCTCCCACTGTGGGAGCTTTTCTGTCCTCTCAATAAGTCCTGCTTTCTTTAAAAAAAAAAGTATTGAAATTAACAGAATTACTTCTTGATACTTGCCTACGGGGTAGATGAAATTAAATCAAGGGCAACTGGTTCTTTACTTCTGTATTACAAGTTGTACTGGGTCGAAATTATGCCTAAATAATGAAGAGAGAAGAATGTCTCCTCAAAAATGAAGAGTGTTTTCTATTTTTGGTCAAGGTTCTGGCTGTCGCATTTTTTTGTTTTGTTTTGTTTTGTTTTTGAGTTGGAGTCTCACTCTGTTGCCCAGACTGGAGTGCAGTGGCACGCTCCCGGCCACTGCAGCCTCGACCTGCTGGGCTCCGTGATCCTTCCGCCTCAGCCTTCCAAGTAGCCGGAACTACAGGCATGTGCTACCACGCCTGGTTAATTTTTGATTTATTGTAGAGATGAGGTCTCACCAAGTTGCCCGGGTGGGTCTTGAACCCACAGGCTCAGGCAATCCACTCACCTCAGCCTCCTGAAGTGCTGGGATTATAGGCTGAGCTACCGAGCCTGGCCCTGGCTGTCGCATTTTAAGAACTGCCGTAAGATACCTAAACGTACAGCTCTCCCCCCAGCCTCTGCCCTTTAAGAGAGGAATACCGCGTGTCCATGAAGAAGCCCTTGGCTCTGGCGCACTCCCGCAGCTCGGAGAAGAACTCCTGGTGTGGAGGGGGGTGCTGGCGCAGCAGAGCCTGGTGGGGAAAGCTCTCCCAGATCTTCCTGGCCACCCAGTGGTTGGCCAGGATCATGCACTCCGCCACCGTCTCATGGACCTCCAGTGGCTGCTTGGGGATGAGGTCATGGATGTTCTTCTTCTCGTCTAGCTGAATATGCACCTCCACTCCCTCCAGCTCCAGGGCACCGCAACGGTTGCGTTTGGCCCGGACATGGCGGGCTATGTCTGTCAGCTTGCCCACTGCCCATGCCAGCTCCTCCAGTCTGGTCCGACGACTCTCCTCATCCAGGGCCCTGAGCTCTGGAATCTCCTCCACCACACTGAAGTTTCCATCCAGAAGCTCCTGGGCCACTTCGTAGAACAGTTTGTACGCAGATCGGATGATGGTCCTGCCATACCATACTCTTCTGATTTCATAGGAGGTCTTATCCAGCTCCCACAGGACACTGACAGCATACCTGCAATGCCAGCAACATTTTGTTATTCACAATTCCGTTATTCTATTTCTGAAGCAAGCAGAGCTTGACCCAAACTGTAACTTAAAAAAATGAAACTGCTACAAGTTCTGGTTCAATTTCTCAAGACAGCCACTCTACCACTAAATCAAACATTTTAAAGTAGAACAACAATGTTAGACTAGGTGCTGCTGAGTTCTGAAAAAATATGAAAAATGAGTTCACATGTGATATTACAAACCTACCTTACGGTCTCCACTTTGATTAAAATAGCATGGCACTGACAGAGTCAATGCATCTGAACTCCTCAGCAAATTAGAGCAAAGTCTTTCCAGTCCTACAAGATGACACTGAACTGTGATGTCAATCTTGATGGTGGGCTAATCAGGGGAAAGTTCACTTGGTAACTTTGCCACCAAACCACTTCATGTAAAAATACATACATTTGCAACACATAAAAACAAACAGCTAATTTTCCTATTATGTTAAGAGTTTTTACAAATTAATTAGTAAGAAATCATGAACTCAAAAGAAAAACAAGCAAAGAACATAAAGTAGTTCACAGAAAAGGATATGTGACGGTTAAACATACCAAAAATGTTTAACTTCACTGATAATAGAGAAAATGCAAATTCAAGCCACTCTAAGAGACCAATTTTCATGTATCAAACTGGCAAAGAAAAAAAATGTAACATGTTGGCAAGGCTGTAGGGAAATAAATACCCTCACTCCCTGCTGATGGGAGCATAACTGGTACAACTTGAAGGAGGACAACTTGACTATATCGATCTTATCATAAATGCACATACCCTTGACATAGAAATTCCATTTCTAGGAATTTCTCCTTCACAGATACTGTACTTTAGAAAATATGAAATGACTTATGTTCAAAGTAATTCAGTACAGCCTCATTCATAATAGCAAAAGACTGGAAACTCTCCAAATTTCCATAGATAAGCAACTATGATTAATTAGGAATGATCTCCAAGACTCACGAAGTTAAAAAAAATTAAGATGCTGAGCAGTTATGCAATGCCACCATTTGTATAAAAAAGGAAGATTACATATCCATATTTGTGTGTTGGTATGTACATTATATCTAGAAAAACACAGGAGTTGGTGACAGAGAAAGAGCATTTCATTAAATATCTTTTGGAACCTATGCATTTGGGACCGTATGATTTTATTACCTATTGAAAGATAAACATAAACTTTATAACAAATAAACAAACACTCCCCAAATTCATGATCCTCATGCAAAACGACTTCCACCAGGGGGTGCACAAGCACGAGGCGACATGCACTTGTCCCTGGACTTCAACTAAAAGCCAGCACAGAGGGAGACACACTTCAGCCAGTGGAGAGAAAATGTGGGGACTGGAGGGATTAAGCTGCCCCAATATGTGGAGTTAAGACAGAGAGGACAAGGGAAGGGGGGTAAGTGGAGCACATCAGAGGAAGAAGTAGGGGCCTGGTCAGCAGCAGCAAGAGCCAAAAAAACGTCAAGACAAACCTCTAAACCCACCTGTCAACACCACCCAGGAGGGAGCACAGGTCAGTGCTGAGCACGGAGGGCAGCATATCATAGCGCCGGTCAGCTAGGTAGTATGTGGTGGCCCTGTGAATGAGAGAAGGCAACACAACCTTCAGAGTGAGAGGCAGGACTGCTGACTGCATGACTAAGGGAGTTAAATGAGCCAGGCTCGGTGGCTCAGCCTGTAATCCCGCGTCTTGGGAGGCTGAGGTGAGTGGATTGCCT